ATTTGTTATTTGAAGCAAAGAAATTAGTCTCATTGATATTAGGTGTGTTAGTAGTAGGAGTAGTAGCAGCAGTAGGAGTATTGGTGATCTTGTTGCGTAACAATGAAAGTGGTAAGGGTCTGCTTAGATGTAGAGCTGCATGTAGTAGACCTTCACAACCACCACGTTCTAATAAATCGCTTGTCTCTGAAGATCTTTGAAAATAATTAAGAAAAAAAATAACGGTAATTTAGTGAATATGATTTTGACAAAAAAAATAAATATCCGACTTACAGCAAACATTAAGAGAAAATGATAGAAATATACATCTTTATGAGTATATGTTGGTGATGTTAGATCGTCAGGACTCACTTGACAAAGATCATAATTCTAGATTTTGTGTTTTCGCGCATGGGCTGGTCAGTTGACCTTGAGATTACGTTTTCCACCCGGATAATCCTTGACTGTCATTGGTTGATGTATTATTTTAGTACGCTATTTTTGTGACTCTCATCAAGGACATCTTATCAAGACTTCTTCGTCTACTTAGTGGGTACCTTGGTACGCTCAGATTAGAGTAGCCTATCGTGTTATTGGATCATTTGTCTTCGCTATTGTTGATCGACTAAGGTGGATTCGTAATCGTTTCAAGCATATCATTCAGTATATGAGTAAGTAAGTGTCGTCTAAGCTGTTTTGAAAATTCAGTCAGTCAAGGACAGCGTAGAACGCACATACATCAGTGTTCAAGTTGCCATATCACATTAGCACAGTGAGATCGTATTGTCAATTGGATTCGCAAATAATTAAATCTAATCTAGTTGGCTTCAGTCATTGATATCATTATAAAAGTGAGAGTGTTAACTACAGTGAAACAATGATTAAGTTGTATATTAGTAACTAGATAAGTAACATGTTCACCCTTTAACTGAAATTTAAATTATTTAATGTAAATCGTACATAATTCCTTTCATTTGCAGTCTAATATCACTTATCTGTAACGTCATAATAATGACAGTTGAATTAGTATTAAAGAAAATCCTATAGACAGCAGCTGACTACAATAATTAGCAATATTAGGTATACATGTTTCGATTGCTTTACCGTGAATGTTTACATAAAACAGAGTGTCACTGTTTCAGTAATAAGCACAGTAATATTTTTCTAAAACCTGAAAGCCGTCAAAAACTCAAATGAAGTTTAACCCAGTCTAGAGACCACAATGCTATTTCCCGTAGCCTTGTTGGTATAGATATAGCATTCAGTCTAAAAGCAGAACCCGCTCTCTTAAATTGGATTCCAATCTTGTCAGCCTTGATGGTCCAGTGACTGACGAAATCTCGGTACAGATTACAGAAGATTCAGTTGGTTTTCGCCAACTTGAATCACTTATGTCGTAGGCAAGATATCTGTCTGCCAACTAAACGGTAAGGTTACTGCACAGTGGTTTCTTTTCATTCTAACTTGTGCGTGAGATAAGACCATTGAGAATAGAAGATATTCGTAGGTGACTAGTATTCGATCAGATGTCTTCGAAGCATTACTTGGATACCCTGTGACCATTGAGTAGGCAATTCTGGGGTTAGGAAACTAGTACTAGGTAAGGATGGAAAATCAGTTGATGCTGTACTGAGTCTTCATCAGTTAAAATGGTTGGGACATATGTTACGTATGTCCAAGCTACGACTACCTCTACGAGGTATGCTAACTGGTGGGAGAGTAGACTGGAAGAAAGCTAGTGGCAGCTAGTTCAAATCATGGCACAAATCCATGAAGTCATTGTCAAATGGAGTGAGTCATGTTGGTAAGTGTAGACTATCTGATTGGGGTCTGTGAGACAATCGTAACCGGTGGTTATGTACTTAGAATAACATGGCTTAAAATCGTTTGCAATGGCGCAGATGAATCCTTTTTTATTTTCCTCTGCATTGTGAACCCTGAAATTCCTCACACATTTTCCTATTTTTACACTAATTTATGTGTTTTTGAATGCCATTTTCAATGCCTAATCGTTCCTATTACCAATAGTACTGTTACTGCATCTACAATTCTGGGATTCTGCTTGACCGTGGGGTAGGACAATTTGAACTGAAAATACGTACGTACCAATTTCTACGGTAAAATTGTCTGACTGATATATTTCAAGTTTGTAAGTAGGAAAAAACCAAAAGTAAGCGTATGCAAGGTCTCAATCGACCTGTTATTTTTTTGACAGCCATGAATAAGAAAAGGAATAAAATCTTAAACTAACGAAAATTCATGTCATTAAACAGTAACTTTACCGAACATACAAAACAGAATGGCTGATTTAGATACATTTCATAGAAAACAAATACAACTGTATAAAACGGACTAATAAAATTGTAAACATTATGTTAAATCCAATCGTTTTTAACAGCCTAACTTGAAAATTTAATGCTTTCACTTTATACTATACTACTATTGGTAAGTAAGTAGTTTAAGTCATAGTCATTCATTTATATAATTTGGAAGAAAACTAGGGGCGGCCACACCTAGACCGTTTCTTTCTCCTTTTTTAAATTAATTCCTCTGGGGTATACATCTCCAATGATATATTCAATCATTAAAATTTTGATTACTACTAACAGTTCTACTACCTCTATCACTATGGCATTTGAATTGACAATTGCGTCTCTATGCTAATGCAATATGGCAACATGAACTGATGTACGTATGTACGAAATTCTACGTTGTAACTGACTGAATGAATGATACCTCATGAACAAATAGATTTAATAAAATATTTAAAATTGACTAACAGCATATAGATATTAATAGATAACATTCAATATTTTTAAGAAATCCCTTATGTATGATTCACTATGCTCCACCATCCACTTTACTCACAGCTATTCGCCAACCAACACAACATGGATGAACGAAAAACAGAAAATTGGATAGAATACTCACAACAGAACATTTAACAAACTTGACAACTGTCATCAAGATGTCAAGCAGACAGCATAGAGAACAAAGAAGAAGCATCCTCAAAGACCAACTATTCAAGATTTTAAAGCCACCCACAGAGGTCGACCAGTCAGTCCAAAAAACATCTAACGACAATGAAACACCTCCAAAAAGGGTTGAACTACAACACGTGGTACTTCGAAACTCGGATTCTTCGCCGCGTTAGAGATATCATTCAAAACAGCCTGATTAAATGAAGAAACTCAACTGAAAATAAGACAAACTATCGTACCACTAACTCGATGGAAGAAAGACAACACCCGACTAACAGCACAAGAACGATATGTCTGAAAGGAACTCAGAACTAGGGAAGATATTATCATAGTACCAACGGACAAACGACACACTACAGTAGTTCTGCATAAGGAAGAATATATTAAGAAAGCCGAGGAACTCCATGACGACAGAAGCATATATATAAACCAATGGACACAAATCCAATCAAAAGATTAAAGAACCAAATCTTAAGGACTTTAAACAAACTTGTCAAAGCAGGACAAATATCAAAACAAGATTAATGTAGAATAAAATCCGATGAACCACTTATTTCACGATTCTACGGTAGACCAAAACTACACAAACATGACATTCCATTACGTCCAATTGTATCCCTCCCTGGAACCCTAACATACATACAATTTATCAAGATAAATTTCACGAATACTGTAACATGTAGTGGATTTATCCAATCACTTCGTTAAATCTCTCATGTAACATGAGAAGTAGGTTGAAAGAAAGTTAGGGATGGTCAAACCAAAACATGGCACAAATCCATGAAATCACTGACAAGTGGACTGAGTCATGTTGGTAGATGTAGGCTATCTGGTTTGGGTCCACGAGACGAAAGTCACCGATAGTTAGAGACCTTGAACGACATGACTCAAAATCGTTTGCAATGGCGCAGGTGCATCCAATACAACCTTCTGAATTCCTCATCATCTCTATCTTTCTCTTTCAAAAGTTATATCACTGAATTATACCCTCTTCTTCTCCATTACTGCTAATACTTCTACTATCGCTATCACTACTGGATTTGAAATGACAGTTGCGTTTCTGGGCTAATGCGGTATGTCAACTTGAACTGATGTACGTGCGTACGAGGTTCTGTGTTATATCTATCTGTCTGTCTGTTTTTCATGTATCAGGCTGATACTCTGTAGAGTTTACTTTCTAAACGTCTGACAGCATCCCTTACTATTTATTGATTTTAAGAGTAACAATAACGTTTCTCAACGGAATACTATATCAATCAACACCATTGACAAGATTACTCAACCTTATATAAATATATACAGAAATGTGAATTGAATCGAAACCTGTAAAATTGTCTAAACCATAGACGACAGCAAACTTGAACTACATAACGGTGATGTAACTGATCATACAGAGGTGATTTCAAAAAGAATAACAGAACTTACGAATAAGTTAGAAAGATTGTAGATTCACAGAGAATTCTTAATAATTCACGACAATATAATATAAAATTATTCAAAAATTTATGATATTCTAATACAGATTGGTATAATTGATCATCTGAGCTCAATTTGGATTTTTTAGCTTCAGAACAATAGGTTGTTTCATCAGTGGTATTCGTTGTTGTCGATGTGGTAGTAGTAGTAGTAGTGGTGGGAGTTGTTACATTCCCTGAAGATGTACTACATAATTGAGATGAGTCTAATTCACTTATATTTATTAAATATATTAAAAGACGTTCAATATTTGAATTGACTGTAAGCAGAGAAAAAAATAAAATAAAATGTGAAGTAACTATACAATAAAAATGATAGGTTAAGTTAATTTTAATGTATAAAACAAATTATTTAACAAGTACACTTTAATATTACCTTGCATTGTTTGAGTTGTACTACGAACGTACGGGCTGCCAGAAAGACAGAGAGATACAGCGCAGAACTTCGTACGTAAGTACATCAGTTCAGGTTGTCATAGCGCATTAGCACAGAAACGCAACTGTCAGTTCAAATCCAAGAGTGATAGCGATATTAGAAGTATTAGCAGTAATGGAGAAGATAAGGGAGCGAAGATATGATTCGAGATGTTTTGTAACGCTTGCTTAAATAATTCCCAGCTAAATCCTATTGCTTAGTATTCCCTGACCACAATACACTGGACAAGTTCCAAAGAATCAAAAACACGGTGGAACAGGAAAAAAGATTATATTCCAAATAGCAAGGTTAAATGGAAATAAGAAGCCAAAGGTGATGGCGAAGGCCGAAAATAGATACAACGTTAGTTTATCTATAGCATTAACATGAGAAGCTTCTGGATAGAAATTCACGTGATCGACTGCATTAGATTTAGCCATTCAGCATGCAGCTAACAATACGAGAATTTTCTGCCTTGTTCTCCAAGAATCGATCAGGCGCTAATTGGATAGGAAATTAGCCAATCAGAGCGTAGCAACGTAGTCATGCTTTAATTCCATCTATGTCCCACTAACAAGATGTATGACTCAGTGAGATAAATTTAGAAGGAGAAATATAGAGATGATAAGGAAGATTAGAATTCGAGAGAACACAAAGAGTGAATGCACCTGCGCCATTGCAAACGATTTTGAGCCATGTCGTTCACGGTCTCTAACCATCGGTGACTATCATTTCACGGGCCCAAATCAGGTAGCCTACATCTACCAACATGACTCAGTCCACTTGTCAATGACTTCATGGATTTTTGCCAGGTTTTGGTTTGGCCGCCCCTAGCTTTCTTCCAACCTACTCCTAAAGCACAAAACATAGCTCGTTGAGGCAGTTGGTGGTTAGGCATACGTAACACATGTACCAACCACCTCAATTGATGAAGTACGGGCTACCGATAATAATCGAATCTCTAAACCAAATTACGTGGAGTGAAGCTCGAACACTGAAATCTCTGTGTTTAATAACAGTCAAATGCTATGTAACTTGGATACTTATTGTTTTAAACAGTTTACACGTTTTAATAATCAGCTATTATAAAACCTTTACTTGTTTGAAAATACATAATTTCTAGAGAATTCAACTCGAAAATATATAATAATCTTCATTTTGAATTCTCAAGCCACGCGTGTGTTAGTTAATGTTGAATCAATAACTATGAAACTATAATCCTAATTGGTTAATTTTCTAGGGTATACCAAAAAAAACAGTCAATAAATACTCACACATTTCCCTGTGCGGTGCGAGCTACTTATAAGTAGTATATGACGTGAGTGTCAACGTAATGTCTGGCAGCAGAAGATGGGGGAAGATCAAGAAAGAAAGGAACAGTTAGAACACAATGGAATTTGTATGAAACGCATGAATAGTGACAATGGATTGACGATGTTTTGCAACAGGAACAGTCCAGTTCGATATGATGGACTGATATTTTGCAAATTAACGATTTACGATATGGTTTTCCTATTTTACTAAGTAACTCTGTAATTTTCGTTAAATACAATTCGGTTGCCCCACCTATGTTCTCGTTCACTACACCTGTATCATTGTCAGCGAATAAACATTTCGCTTCTTTTATTTTTATTAAGAAATGTGGACTGATGGTCTAGTTAATTGAAGTAGTACGGTGAAAATTCATATGAAGAATATTTTGAGTTGTATTCATTTATTAAGTTAACTGTTGTATTGATGTTTGATTTGTGTAAATGCAGATGAGTTATTAAGTATATTTGCATGTCCATTGAACATGTTTGTAATTGAATGGACATGAATGGATTATCATATCAGTGTTTGAAGTAATGAGTAATGAGTTCATGGTTCAATGTAAGTAAATTCAATACTGGAAGGCGGGTAAATCCAGCTTACCAGTTCAAAGTGTAGAACGGGATTCATATTATGGACTTTACTGCTTTGAACCTAAGAATACTATTTTTAGAAATACAATCCTATTGGTCGATTTCTATTGGCCGACATTATGATCGTTCTTAACGTCAAGGTCAAATACCTCAATGTTGCCTCTTATTGGTCATCTGGACTATCAATGTCATTCAAATGTTCTTTTCTATTGGTCGTCCTAAATTGTCAATGTCACAGACGTTGATGCTTTCTCTGATTCGACCTTAATGTATAAATACGCACTATCTGAAAGACTTAATAATTCTGTTTCCCCTGCCTACCTCTTCTTCTGTATTCGACCCGATAAACAACTTCCTTCCACGGTGTTGCGTTCTGATATCTAGGAGATTTGGAAATAGCATTTTGGGTCGTATTGGGATATTTGAATTGGACGCCGTTAGGACTGAAGAACTATACGTAGCAGCGTTACAACAGAACCAAGGACATTTGGTGTTGAGTGAGAAGGTATGGCTCAATACCTTGGATCGATTGACGTTAGACATTAAAACCGTTGGATGCCGGTTCAGTGGTCCAGAAGTTAAGTGTTCGTGCGCAGATTTTTGATTTACGCTTGTGGGGTTGGTGGATGCACACTGCTGATGAGTCCCATGCTAGGACCAAACAGCTATTCAGTGCTTCAAAGTTTCTAATGGTAGTCTAACAATGATCGATTCATGATTTCAGTGAGAGTCAACGATCTCCACTGTCTAGTAGCCAACAATTTTGAGTTCAACGTATACAAACATTGAATAAAAACATCCTAATTTGAATTAACTTCTTTGAAAAAAATAATCTTAAACATTAAAAAACTTTCAAATAATCTTTTCGTTTCTCATCAAACTAAGTTCATCTGTTGCTTTAACACAAAACTGTTTTTTATCATTCCAAATTCTTCCAACATATGATATTACAAAGTGTCTATGTGTAAAATTCATAATTTTCAGTTATATTCAGTTTTAATTTTTATCCTTAGCAATATATAAATTATCTTTGTCAATTGCCAGTATACAAACTGATATGATACGGAAGGTAAATAATAATGATGAAGTTAAAACTTTTGAGAATAAAAAAAACGAAATGAAAAACATAAAAAGTTCATTGAATATTTTGAGAGATTCTACCTGTTGTAGTAGTACTGTTGTAATAGCTTGCTTAGATAATTTATGGCTAGATCTTAATGCTTAGTATTCTCTGACCACAATACACTGAACAAGTTCCCAAGAATCAAAAACACGGTTGAACAGGAAAAAAGATTATATTCCAAATAGCAAGGTTAAATGGAAATACGAAGCCAAAAGGTGATGGCGAAGGCGAAGGCGAAGGCCAAAAATAGATACAAAGTTAGTTTCTTTATAGCATTTACATGAGAAGCTTCTGGACAGAAATTCACGTGATCGAATGGATTAGATTTAACCAATCAGCACGCAGCTAACAATACGAGAATTTTCTACCCTGTTCTCCAAGAATCGATCAGGCGCTGATTGAATAGGAAATTAGCCAATTAGCGCGCAGCTAGAGCAGTCATGCTTTAATTCCATCTATGTCCCACTAACACTACCACATCGTGTACTAGAGGTTTTACAACCCTCAACTACATGATTGATTTGTATACATATATATATATATATATATATATATATATATATATATATATATATATATATATATATATGAAAATAGAGAGGGATCCTACCCCTAATTCAGGTCTCATATGGCCGGAAAAATGAAAATTTCACTTTTGAGAAAAAAAATCATCACCCCAACACGAAACAAAGGGTAATAAGTGTGTTTAAACCCATTTGCATCAAGATGGGCTGCATCTCTTGCTATCCTATGCCATACTATGTGTATACCATGCTGCTATACTACTATTTATGAAGATGAAGGTTTCCTATGACAGACCAGAGGTTCAATGTGATGAACATTGTGGATGGCTTGACATTATTTTGGCAAGTTTCGCTAATAGTCCATATATGTTACACCTGCACGTAAACACGTCATTTTGATATGCTTGAACTATTACGAGTTTACTTGGTCGGAAACGAGAGCGAGGATTGAGGATTCGGCGACACAACATGCTACTCAAATCCGATTATCCCAACTCCCATATTGAGTAAAAATAAGACAAGACTTGATATGAAGTAGAACATATATTCTACAAGCATCCAGAAAGTACGAGGTCCGAGTCCAGAAGAGAATCAGGATCCCGGACCGGGTCCTGGTCCTGGTTATAAAACGTTACACAATGCTTATTTATACATTTTGGTCGAATAGGAAACAGCATCGAAGTCTGTGACATTGACAGTTAAGACGACCAATAGGAAGCAACATTTGAACTGACACTGATAGTCAGGACAATCAATAAGAAACAACATTGAAGTACGTGACATTGATATCTAGGACGACCATAAAATTGACCAGTAGAAATTAACCAATAGGAATTGACCAATAGTTCTCTTAGAATATTGGATGAATATCCTAACAATATACAAATTTAGTTTGCAAGGTAACCGATTTCATTGATACTGATAATGGTTGTCTTACAACATTCCCTAAGGCCTTTTTCATTGGGACGCTGTATTGTATATCACCATTGCTGATAATAATGAGTTTGACAGTCATGTAAGCGGTATGGATCAAATTGGCCTGTTCATGCTATACATACTGATTGACGATGCAACGATGGATCGGAAATAATCACCATATATTTACTAATATACATATAAGTAGTATGAACAGTCCACCAGGGTATCAGGTACCTATGTGGTTGCACCACAGGATTGAGCTGTACTGTTCACGTTAAAATATTAACACGTGAACAGTCAGTCTCGTTGATTCTCCTGAAAAACCAATGTAAAATTACTCTTACCAATTGAGGATGAATTTAATATCATTCTGAAAATTTTGAAATGAAAATAAACAACCATTGTTAGACCACCATTAGAAACCTGAAAGCACTGGACGGCCGTTTCATCCTGGTATGGGACTCATCAACAGTGCGCATCCACAACTCCTGCTCCTCGCAGGATTCGAACCCGGTATTTTGCACGAACGCCTAATCATGGGTGAGTCCCATACCAGGACGAAACGGCCGTCCAGTGCTTCCAGGTTTCTAATGGTGGTCTAACAATGGTTGATTGATGATTTCAAATGTGTAAAAAATCGCAAACCTCCAAAACTGTGCCCCAGAAAATAAACAAACAGAGAAAACAACCACGACCAACCTGGAGCTTGTAATATACTTTTAACTAAAAGTTGAATTATTCCAACAGCTGACTGATAAGTAAATTCATGTTGATTTCGTAACAGAGCAAATAATTGCAATGGAGTTAATGTTATCAATTGATCAATTATAAAAGACAGCGTAACACATTTTATACGTCTAATTAAACTAATTATCCATAGTAGAGAAGTTGATTGACGACTACTACTACTACTACTACTACCAGTAGATGAGGAGGACAGAAGATAATTATTATTTGATTGACGTTCATTAAACAATGATAATATAGCACCAGTAAGCATAGGATGTGAATCATTCAAATTGGAACGATTTGTAGTGATATTCATTGGCGGAACTTGAAGTAATGTTGGCGGTGCTGGCGGTGGTGGTTGTTGGTGTGGTGCATGAGGTGGACGACGAGCGGGGATTTCAAACGATTGAGTGAAATTTAGTCGAAATGGCATAAAATTAGTTTGTTGACCTGGTGACATGTTTGAATTTAACATATTATTATTACTATTATTATTCGGTGGGATGGGAAGATGATGACCAGGTGTAGATAAGATTGGATTCATATTTCTTGGTGGTATAGGTGGCATATTGACTATTGACACAAGGAAGAATACATAAAGAGAAAACAAAACAACGAAAACGATTATCAATTAGAGTTATGCAGATTAGTGTTTTTATACATTGAAGCTAGTCAATTAATCGTTGCTAGACACAAAGGTCAGGCGTTCTCGAGCGCGCCCAAGACCAAAAGTCCTAGGGGTCTGAATCTTGCGTGTAGCAGGAGTCATGAATGCGCACTGCCACTGATGAGTCCCATATACTAGGAAGAAACGGCCGTCCAATCAGTCAGTCAATTATTACGTAGAACTTCAAACGTACGTACATCAGTTCAGATTGCCATACTGCATTAGAACAGAGACTCAATAGTCGGTTCGAACCCCATAGTGGTGAAGATAGTAGAAGTATTACTGGTAATGGAGAAGATCACAGTTTGAAAATATTATTCAAGAAGTATAATCCAGTGAGAACTTTAGGAAGAGTAAGATATAGGTGATGAGTAATTCAGAAGGTTGTAATTTCATAGAACACAAAGAATGAATGCACCTGCGCCATCGCAAACGATTTTGAGCCATTTCATTCAACTTCTCGAACTATCGGTTGCTTTCGCCTCGCAGGCCCCAACCAGATAGCCTACATCTACCAACATGACCCAATTCACTTGTCAGTGACTTATCCCATGTTTTGGTCTGGCTGCCACTAGTTTTCTTCCAACATACTCCTACACCAAAACACATAGCTCAACGAGACAGTGGGTGGTTAGACATACGTAACACATGTGCCAACCACGTCAACTGATGAAGCTTCAATACTTCATCTATTGATCTGCCATCCTTACCTAGTACTCGTTTCATAACTATAACATTGCTTACTCGGTTGTCCCATGATATACAAGCAATGCCATGAAGAAATCTATAATCGAATACTAATAACCTATGGCTGTCATCTTATCGGTCATGTTTTGCATCCATATAGTAGGGGACAGACAGAACTGTTGCGCAGTTCACTCATCCTTTGGTTAGCAAACAAATATCTCTCCTACGTCATATGTAACAAAAGTTGATTCTAAGAGGCAGATTTTGAAAAAAAGAATAAAAAAAGAGAACGTTTTGACAAATAAGCCAAAACAACAACAACTTACAATGAGATGACATTGGTGTACAATCCATGTCTTTCTGTACACATGGTGGACGATATGTTGTACTAGGTGGGAGACCATAATTGAAATTTTTCGGCGTATAAGGATACCTCCAAGGTTGTTGTTGATAATGATGATGATCGATGCTTAGATCAGTTGTGGTTGTTGTTGTTGATGTTGGTAATGGTAAGGGAATATTGTTGTTATTCAAAGGAATTTGTTGTTGTAGTTCCGACGGAGATTGTGGCGGAATCGGCACTGTGATTAGACTTAAATTAATAATTAAATGTAATAGTTTGGTTTCTTGAATTAAAGGATTTTGTTTGTGATCGTGGTCTAATGCGGATTCATTTGTTATGCTTAAAGCATAGGTAGAAATTGGTTCAAATTTGTTGCGTAACCAATCCGCTAGGAATTCTGGCACTGAATCACCAAGAAATAATAAGTGTGTTAAACACACTGTCATCTATGAAGGAAGGTATGTAAAAGAGAAAGGTGTATAAAAACATGCTGAATGATAAGTCAAAAATATATTACAAGCATATGGATGAATGCGAAACATGCTGTTCCATAGTGTCAGTCTACAATACACACTTACTTACGCCTGTTACCATCAATGGAGCATAGGCAGCCGATTAGCATTCTCCAAACAACTCTGTCCAACTTTTGTTCAATCTTCTCATGTCTGTCACCATTTCCCGGCGTAATGTGTTCCTTGGCTTTCCTCTTGTCCTTCGTCCTTGAGCGTTCCAATTGAGGACTTCTCTTGTGATGCAGTTGAGTGTCTTCCACAATGTGACTTATCCACTAACCGCGCTTCTTCCTGATTTCCTCCTACGCTGGAATCTGGTTTGTTCTATCTCAAAGTAGGTCATGTACGTAAAAGAATGGTTGCTGTGGTTGTCAGAAATGGCATCGGCTTTTCATCATGAGACGTCATAACTCTTCTGGATGAAGATCTTCTAACACACAGGACAGAGTTAAAATGATTTAAATTGAGTTTTCTAGTTAGCGTTTTTTAGCGAGTTGGTCTTCTACAGTATGCGGTCGCCAACTCCACATTCAACCCTTCTCCTTTATCCGGGCTCTGGACCGGATATGCCGATGACATAGTCCTACTTGGTGAAGACGCTGACAAAATGCAGTCTTCTGACCACCCTAAGCGACAATGCAAGCATGTTTGGGATGCGGTTCTCACCCTCGAAATGCAAAATGTTGCTTCAAGATTGGGTTGCATCAGCACCTGAACTAGTGATAGGGAGTGAAGTAGTCGAACGTGTAGACAGCCTCACTTATCTTGGGAGTCTCATCAGGGCTGATGGCCTGGTGACTGATGAAATCTCAGCTCGGATACAGAAGGCTCGATTGGCTTTTGCCAACCTGCGTCACCTATGGCGCAGGCGAACTATCCGTTTGCTGACTAAAGGACGAGTGTACTGTGCAGCAGTTCGCTCCTTCCTACTGTACGGATGCGAGACTTGGCCGTTAAGAGTAGAGAACTTCCGTAGGTTACTAGTCTTCGATTATCGATGTCTCCGAAACATTGCTCGTGTATCATGGTACAACCGTATAAGCAATGCTGTCGTTAGGAAACGAGTTCTAGGTAGGGACAGCAAATCAATAGATGAAGTATTGAAACTTCATCTGTTGAGGTGGTTGGGACATGTGTTACGTATGGACAACCACCGACTGCCTCGACGAGCTATGTTTTGCGATATACGAGAAGGCTGAACGAAAAGCTAAGGGCGGCCAGACCAAAAGATGGCACAAATCCATGAAGTCACTGACAAGTGGACTGAGTCATGTCGGTAGTTGTCAACTACCTGGTTGTGGTTCGCAAGATGATAGTAATCGATGGTTAGAGACCTTGAACGACATGGCTCAGAATCGTTTGCAATGGCGCAGGTACATTTATTCTTCGTGTTCTATGAAATTCTATTCTCTGAACTCTTCATCACCCTAATCTCTCCGATTATTGCTACCATTCTTAATACCTCTACTACTATAGGATTTGAATTGACATTTGCGTCCCTCTGCTAATGATGTACTTACGTACAAAGTTCTACGTTGCAACTAACTGACTGACTGACTGACTTAATACACCACATTCCTATCAACAAACTATATAATATCCAACATTCAAATAAACTTTTGAAATATAAGTAATATCACACAACTTAGAAGCAAAAAAACACATACCCAAAAATCGAAATCAAAATTATTTTGATTAAAAAAATAACCACCCAATGTATCTGGTAACAAAGCACATTGTAGAGTATTTGGTTTGAATGGATGTAGTGCTGAGGTTAATATCAAATGACATAATTCATTTAATTTTTGTATTCCTCCGGTCGATATTAAATTATTTCCACTAGTAGCTTGATCTAATAACCAAATCATTATCCAATGAGGTAGAATGGTAGAATTCGCCGCGAGCGAATGATGATGACAATGTTTAGTATTGTCCAGTACATTAGTATCTCCCCATATTGATGGTAGTAGTACAGTGGATGAAGCTAATAGGGCTTGCACTGAACTTAATCGAATATTTGAACCCTATATCAAGAAAGAATATATATATTACAAGAACAATAAAAATGAATTAGTAAGAAAATTAGACAAGTACTGTTGACTAATGAAAGTGATCAGATGTTTTCTTTCTGATGTTTGAAAGCCACAATTCGAGTCTTGTACTCCTGTTAGCAGCCGGACATAGATGGATTAAAGCATGATTTGCGTTAGCTGCACTCTGATTGGCTAATTCCTATCCAATCAGCTCCTGGTCGATACTTGAAGTACATTCCAGAAGCTTCTCATGTAAAAACTATAAAAATAGTTACGGTTTCTATTTCGCCTTCGCATCGGTTTCTTACTTCTCTATTTAACCTTGCTATGCGGAATATAATCTCTTTTTTCCTGTTCCACCGTGTTCTGATTTGTGGGACTTGTCAAGTGTGTTGTTGTCAGAGAATAGTGTTAGTGCGACATAGATGGAATTAAAGCATGACTACGTTGCTGCGCGCTGATTGGCTAATTTCCTATCCAATCAGCGCCTAATCGATTCTTGGAGAACAGGTTCGAATCCCGCAAGATGCAGGAGTCGTGGATGCGCACTGCCACTGATGAGTCCCATACCAGGACGAAACGGCCGTCCAGTAATTCCAGATTTCTAATAGTGATGGTCTAACAATCATTGATTGATCATTTCAATGTGTAAAAACACTAATCTCCATAACTCTAATTGAGAAAAATTATGTAATTTCAAATGGTGACCAGGAACCCATTTTCTAATCCAGTTATTCCCTTCTCTAACCAAATAAAGTAAAAAAAACCCGACTTACCATTAAACAATGACATACAATATTCAACAAATCAATCAATACAGGACATTTAATCCAAATGCCTAAAATTTGTTGATTCACAGCTGACTTGGCACTAAAATCCAAATCAATCATATTATCTTCAACAGAATGAGAATCTGGCTTTTTCAATGAACCAACTAATTGATCATTTGAATGTAAACTAGTACTTCGTATGTTACAACTACTAGTATTATTATTATTATTGGATTCATTCTCTTCAGAATGAATTCGATTATCTGAACTGGTAGATAATGATTTCACATCATTGGTTTCATTCGTCTCATGACTCATACTACTCGTATTAGTAGTAGTAGCAGTAGCAGCCGCAGGAGTAGGTAACATTCCATCATCGCCTGTATGATCAATGTTATCTACATCGGCAAATTCATTTTCTTCATCAGTAGTACTAGAATTTGAACATGAATCCGAATCGGATAGGATTAATTGATGATAAGGTGGTGTAACAGTGGAGGATGCTAAAGATGACAAGGAACGAGGATCAGATTTGTGCTTTTTATCATATCGATAATTAGTAGTAGTGTTAGTAGTAGTAGTTGATTTGATCGGATTGAATCGATTACGATCACCAATAGTATTTGTATTCATATTCATATTATCAGTATTTGAAGTCTTGTGCAATGTTTTTCGACTAGTTGATATGTTGACATTGTTATTTGAAGTTTTACTTGATATTGAAAAAGATTTATGCTTATTATCTTGTTGTCGACTACTATGTGATCCAATTAAATCCATTAAATCTGATAATAATTGAGTTGGTGGAACAGTACATACAGGTCGAATTAATACAAGACACCATGAACAAACTGTACCGAGAAAATGATCTGTCACTCCTTTATGAATGATTAATGCATTAATCTGATAAGCCGGCAGTGAGGAGAGAGAAATAAAATGAGAATAGAATAGTAGTAGTAGTAGTAGTAATTGAGAATTAAATACAATGAGGAGGAGAGAAAAATACATCATTAGATTGTACTTCTTGAATAATAATATCTTCGAACTCTATCTAATCTCTCCGATTACTGCTAATAATTTTCTTATCTCTACTACTATGGGGTTTAAATTGACAATTGCGTGGTATGGCAACTTAAACATGTAAATATCGTGGGACAAAGAGACACTTAAATATTTATGTACCATACAGATGATTGAATTTATGAGTGCTCGGGGTTGCGGTTTAGGTGGCTAAACCAAAGTAAGTGGTTTCTTCATGGAGGGGAGTCACTTACCGAGCCTTTGAACAACAGATCTCATTTACAAAGCAGTGCAGCAGCATTAAGAGATGCAGTCATATGATAGAGGGTGACCAACGATCGGTTCATACGATATTTGTTCCCTGGAGATCGAATGCAACATTGGTTTGGAATGTGGGTTTACCAACTACCTTAAATGCATATATATATATATATATATATATATATATATATATATATATATATATATATATATATATATATATATATATATATATATTCACGATACACAGTTATATAAATTAACCCTGTATTGGCAAGGGTAATTTTACATTGGTTTTCAGGAGAACGAAGGAGACTGCCTTCGTGTTGGCATTTCGACGTGAACAGTTCGATTCAATCCCTATCTGCAACCACACAGGTGTACCTGACACCTAGGTGGACTATTCACACTATTTATATACACTAGTAAATATATAGTGATTATTCCCGATTCAAGATGGCGTCGTTAATCAATATGCACAGCATGAAAAGGCTAATTCGACCCATCCCGATTACATGACTGTCAAACTCATGATTATTATTGGCAATGGTGATATGCATTACAGCGTCCCAATGACAATGGCTCTCGGGAATGTTGCAAGACAACCACCAGTAGAAACGAAATCGGTCACCTTGCTAGCCAATTTTGTATATGGACTGTTAGCGAAACCTGCCAAATCAATGCCAACCATCTACAATGTTCACAACGAACCTCTGGTCTCATAGGAAACCTTCATCTTCATAAATAGCAGTATAGCATATGGTATACACATAGTATAGCATAGGATAGCAAGAGATGCAGCCTAGCTTGATGCAAATAGGTTGAAACACTCTTGTATTACCCTTTGTCTCATGTCAGAAGACGTTTTTTCGCAAAAGTGAAATTTTCATTTTTCCGGCCATATGAGACCTGAGTTAGGGGTAAGCATCCCTCTCTGTTTTCATGTAAATATATATTAGTGAAACAAGAAACTTAAACCAACAGAATTACGTGTAATGGCAACAAAAAAAACAAACTGGCTAATAATACTTTCACACTTCAATAATCATTTACCGTTTTCAGTATGCTTTGTAATACAACTTCAGCTCTTTGTAAATTTTGACTTTCATAATTTAAATTACTACGATTAGTCCCAATTGTTCCTGCATTGATATGCCACCAAGTAACAAAATATTCAATGTACAATGGAGCCAAGTGATCTAAAATAGCTGAACGTGATACTGGACATGTTTTTAACAGGAGATTTATTGTTTCATTAAGACATTGCCATTCAGATGGAGATTTTTGAAAAGAATTCTGTGATGCCGACGATGGAACACCACTGCTAGCACCGCCGCCACCGCCACCTCCGCCTACATTCGAATTCGATACAAATGATGAGCAACTAGTTCCACCAGTAGATGAACTAGCACAAGCTGATATAAATCGTTTCCAATGACTTGTTAATGAAGACATCGTTCAATAGTTGTTTTCTCCTGTTGATAGAAAAAGAAGATTTGCTTAAAGCTAAAACCGACACACTCACATGATTGTTTTTTTGAAAGCATGGATGGATCAATGTTAGACCATCATCAGAAACCTGAAAGCACTGGAAGATGGCCGTTTCGTCCTGGTATGGGACTAATCAGTGGCAGTGCCCATCCACGACTCCTGCACCCCACAGGATTCGAGCAAAGGAACTTTGGTATTGTGCGCGAACGCCTAACCATCAGACCACTGAGCCTGTATCTAACGGTGTTAATGTCTAACTTGATCAATTCACGGAGTTGCGCAACCTCATACACAATCTTCACAACAACCCCGTAATACAAATTACCTGTGCTCACTAGTGACTAGCTTCGTGAGGAACCCTTCTCCGAGTTCTAGTGGGAAGACGTGACCAGTGAAGTCCAACCTGTTCGGGTGTAGACAGTAACTACCGAACACAGTGTATGAGGTTGCGCAACTCCGTGAACTGATTAATAAACATTAACACCGTTAGATACCGGCTCAGTGAGTGGTCCGATGGTTAGGCGTTCGCGCACAATACCGAAGTGTTCCTGGGTTCGAATCCTGCGGGGTGCACAAGAGTCATGGATGTGCACTGACACTGATGAGTAGTCCCATACCAGGACGAAACGGCCATCTTCCAGTGCTTCCAGATTTCTAATGATGGTCTAACATTGATCGATTCATGGTTTCAAAAAACAGAAAAAAAGACACTCATATCAATAAGATAACAAAGAAAACGACATATTACAGTGAAAAAGTGAATTTATTTTCAATTTCTTTTATGTACAACAAACATATATATTAATAATGAATGATATACATTTATATATATATATATATATATATATATAAACAGTTAAACTTTTTAAAATTCTTCAACAGTATAATATTCCGATTGAGTAAATGATGACGGTATAGAATGATCAGGTATAGTTGGTGTTAATACACATGGCCATCGTTTATGATGATTACTATTATCATTACTATTGTCAACATTATTTACAGATTGAGCACAATTATTATCAGTAGTAAAATATAATTGTTTTAATTTAATTAAACGTTCTTCAAATAATTGATCTAAAGCATTCATATGAATTAATTTCTTCTGATGAATTCTTTCTTCTTGTAAACGATTCTCAGTTAAATGATTAATAAACAAAGAATTATATTCAGATAATGATGATTCATCACAATATTTAAATTTCTCCACATCATCATTTTGTGTATAATTCCAAATGGATTGTAAATCATTTAATAAATATTTTGATGTACTATCATAATTATTGATAAATAATTCTGATTGATGTAAATGTTGCTTTAAAGTGAAATAATCTATATGATTAGATGTACTCTGATCATCATCATCATCATCGTCATTGATTGGACTGTTCGTTTGAATTGATGTATCATTCAAGTCATGCGTTATTTCTTGTTGTTCAGATGACATTATATTGCATAGATTTAAATTACCTGAATGATTATTGGTGTATTGTTGTAATGATTTCGACAGGATGTCATTGTTTTCTGATTTATAACTAAGTTCAGTTAACCAATTTGTAATAATATTTTGATTTTTTTTTACTTGATTACTCTCGCTTACAACATCATGACTAGGCGACGTGTTTGATGACGATGATGATGTCAAATGAGCACAATAATCAAATAAATCACCATGAGATGTAAGTACCAATGTATGAAATTGATTTTTCATATCATCATCTATTGAATAATATGTACTAATTCCACATATAGAACTTTGTAAACGTTCTTTTAGTTGTGGATTTTGATTATAAAATTCAAATTGATCATTATCTGATTGATATGTTGATACTAAACTAGTCAATGGTAGACTAGATATAGATGGACCAATATATTGTGGACCAGTGGTAGTATTAAAATTCAATCCAAATGTACACATATCTGATGGATATTGTGATGTCATAGAAATAAGATAGTGTGGTAGATGATCATAAGTTGATTGATCATGTTGATTATTGATTTCTGTCCAATTTAAATATGCGACTGGTTTAGCAAGATTATGTGACCAGTGTAAGACAGTACGATTAGGCATACGTTTATCTAAAAGAATCATACTATAATAACAACCAGCTAAAACATAGACATCACCAATCCATTTAGGTGGACAATATGTAATATGATCATTTGAATTAAATAAAGATGAACGTTCTGTTGTGTTAAACAATTGATAAGCACTTGATGATGTTGTACGTGTATCAAAAATTAAAATACGACGTGTAGTTGTTAAATACAACTCACCAGGATAACTTCCAAATCCTACACGTACCCAATAATAGTTGGGATAATATTGACGTAGAAGTTGTTTTCGTGATGTATATGTACAATAAGATTGAATATCTGATTGAACCAGATCTTGTTTCGATGATGATGACGATGAGGATGAGGTTGTTGTTGAAGACAACGGGACTGCACTATCTAAACACAATGCGTTTTCTTTTGTCATAGTCTCCATATAATTGCCTAAATTGATTTGACCAGACCATATAGGTAAACGAGTATCTTCAGAATTATACAACCAAATACTTGCTTTACGATCATTGCTTTCATCTAAATAATTACCAGCTATACACCATTCTCCTGGAATCCATCGACTCATACAAACACTGGTAATATAATTCCTTGATGATAAACGTACTGTTTGCATATATTTAATACGTGAATGAGATAAATTCGACTTGTTAAGTTTAATTTGCATACACACCACATTTTTCTTATTATCTGATGATGATGATGATGTTGGTAAGAATCGACCAACTGCATTGATTTTTTCATTTGTCTCATTAAAACAAGCATCGAATTCACAAAATAATCTAGATGAAAGTTTTGTCAATGGGATTGGAAGTGTTGTAAAACGATTTGATTCATGTACATTTGTTTTTAATAGATTTGATATTTTCCCCAGACAAAGAGATTTGGTTTGGAGTGAATACCACAAGAGAATATCGCTATGATTTGTACAAGATGATGATGGATAGTAATGATGTTTGCTTACATTACATAATAAACCATTGCCAAGATAATTTGGATTAACAATTCGACTAGCTAATCGGATTACTAATGGATCAAATGATGCCAAAAGTCTATTGTAGTCTGTAGTCGGTGACTTACACAAGGCTGTCGATGATGATGATGATGATGGTTCAGCTGAGGATAATGATGAATTCACTGGATAAAGAAGTTTACCTATAGTACAAGGGAGTAATTGTTTCGGTTTCTCCTGCGCACCATTCTCCACACCTTCATTCATAATATCAGTAGTGCTAGATTTGATTGATTTTGACAAATTGTTGGTTAATCGACGTCGTTTTGTTGATGGTTGTTTCAACTTGGAAGTGGCAGTGGAATTATGTGTTCCAGGGAAAGAATCTGTTGATTCTGTACAAGAAACAATCAGATTTTGTATTGTTTCAATTAATTTATTCTGTGAATCAATTGTATCGCATTCATTCAATCCTTTTTCAGATAATTTAAACAAATTTTCAATAATCTGTGAAACACAATGATATTTATTAACATCAGGAACACTATTATTATTATTATTAGTAGTAGTAGTAGTATTTGTTTCATTGATACTCTGATTAGTTTGTATAAATTTGAAAACATTAGCACGTAATAGACCTTGCAATTTACCGCATAGAAATGCAGCCGATGCTTGTTCACCTAGAATATAATCATTCAATAAATATTCATAGCCATAATCTCGTACAGTGGATGCATCGATTGGTTGCTTAGATTTGCCTTTTGTCACATCTTCTTCTTCGTCGCCTACTCCTTCTTCTTCTTCGCCGCCTCCTCCGCCTTGATGTTGTTGTTTAGAATTCAATGAAGATTTTTCGGTTTCCGATGTGGAAGATGAATAATGTACTGGTAACAATGGAATAGGTTTAGAATAATATTGAAGTTTTCCAACTAATTTTGTAGACATTTGACTATCAATCTAGAGACAAAGAAAGAAAATATATATATACCAGATAAAAAGATGTGTGTACTACTACTGATTCAGCCAGTCAGTCAGTGATTTACAACGTAGAACTTTGTACGTACGTATGTACATCAGTTCAGCTTGCCATAACACATTAGCAGAGGGACGCAATTGTCAATTCAAATCCCATAGTAGAAGAGGTAGTGATAGTATTGGAAGTAATCGGAGAGGTTAGGGTTCAAGAAGTATAATTAAGTGAGGTAAATGTACAAAGAAAAAGATAAATATGATGAGAAATTCAGAAGGTTAGGATTTGACAGAACACAAAGAATGAATGCACCTACGCTATTGCAAACGCCTTTGAACCATGTCATTCAGGGTATCTAACTAACGATTATTATCATCTCGCGGGCCCTAACCAGGTAGTCGACATCTATCGGTATGACTCAGTTCACTTGTCAGTGACTTCAAGGACTTCTACCAAGTTTTGGCCTGGCCGCCCCTGGCTTACGTCCAACCTACTCCTACACCACAAAATATGGCTCAACGAGATAGTCGGTGGTTAGGCATAGACAATACTTGTCCCGACCACCTCAACTAATGAAGTTTCAAAACCTCATCTATTGACCTGCCGTGTAAACTAGATTATTATTAAACGAACTACGATACAAACAAATTCTGAAGATAAATTTTATCGTAGGTTAAGGGTTAGTGATATTATTCGGTTGCTCCAGTCGAAATACATAACAACGAAGTTCGAACCGGTAATTTATTGGCTGGAAGTCAAACACAGTAACCACTAACCCACATATGATACAGTAAGGGATTTTAAAAAAAGGAAAAGCAGAGAGAAAGAGATTGTACGGCATTTCCCTGCTAGACTAATTACAAATGTATCAAAATTAATTTTAAGTTACATAAACCAAGGATAAAAGACCTAGAATGTTGAAAAATAGATCAGAGTAAGCGTGTCGACAGCTTAATGAGTTCAATAAATTTAAAACTAATTTAGTAAATGATGTCAAACATCTTCGATAGCTAATCTTCTCCATCTCTACCACTATGCGATTTGAACTGACAATTGCGTTTCTGTGCTGATGAGGTATGGCAACCTGAACTTATGTACTCATGTACGAAGTTCTACGTTGTAACTGACTGACTGACTGACTGTCAAACATCTGAAACATTATCTAGACAAGCGAAAATCTAATGCATGGGAGCTTTTTGAGAAGAAAATGAATAAAAACCAATTTTAAATTAAGATGGAATATGACAGGACGTGTTAGTCAGTCAGCTACAACGTAGAACTTCGTAAGTACGTATGTACATCAGTGTTCAAGTTGCCATACCACAATAGTAGCACAGAGAGAGATTGAATTGTCAAGTCAAATCCCACAGTAATAGAGGTAGTCGCAGTATTAGCAGTAATCGAAAGGATTACGAATCAAAGATTTGATTCGAGGAGTGTAACCCCCAGTGAAATAAATTTTAAAAAGTTATGAGGAATACAGAAGATGAGAATTTTAGAAAAGGCAAAAGAATGGATGCACCGGTGTGATTGCACGTGATTTTGAACCATTTCACTGAAAGTTGTTAACGATTGTCTCATGAGCTCTAACTAGGTACTCTACACCTACTAACTAACACGGCCTAGTCCAGTTGTTAGATACGTTAAGAGTCCCTAATTTAGTTACTGTTGTGTGCATGAGATTGCATAAATGAACATTTCTAAGAATTTATTCGGTCAAAGAGAAAACCAGGCTTGTTAAAGACCTGGACGTGGTTGTATAGACCACATCTTCACACTACGACAGGTGCTGGAACACAGACACACATTTAGGCGTCGTACAATGGTTGTTTTCCTAGACCTTGAGGCGGCATTTGACTCAGTTGATCGTGAGGTTCTGTGACAGTGTCTGTCATTGAAAGGTGTACCAAAGAAATACATTAACCTTATACAAGCTATCTACTCGAACACCACTGATCGAGTGAGAGCTTACGGCGAACTGTCAACGGAATTCTTACTTCAAGTGGTATCCGTCAGGGATGTCCACTCTCTCCATTCTTGTTTAATTTTATCATAGATGTAACCTTATCCTCGTCAGACTTTTCAGAAGTAGACCTTTTACCAGGAGGCTTGCTTATTGAATTAGAATATGACGATGACATAGTTCTATTCGGTGAAGACGCTGACAAAATGCAGAGTCTTCTGACTACCCTAAGCAACAATGCAAGCATGTTCGGGATGCGGTTCTCACCCTCGAAATGCAAAATGTTGAATTATTATGATGGATTAAACTGAGAAATCATGCATGGAGGACAGCTCACAGACTCGTTCAAGGTGAAGACTGGTGTCAGGCAAGATTGCTTACTCTCACCCTTTCTCGTTCTACTGGTGATCGACTGGGTTATGAAGATGTCAACATCCCAGGGGAAGCATGGTATACAGTGGACAACTAGGATGCAGCTGGACGATCTAGACTTCGCACATGATCTGGCTCTTCTATCGCACACGCAACAACAAATGCAAGAAAAGACGACTAGTGAAGCAACAGCTTCAGCACCAGATCTCAACATACACAAGGGAAAAAGCAATATTCTCCGATACAACACAACAGGTACCAGCCAAATCAGACTAGACGGTGAACCTTTGAAAGATGTAAAAACCTTTACATGTATGGGCAGCCTCACTGATGAGCAAGGTGGATCTGATGCATGTGTGAAGGAGCAGATCGACAAAGCGAGGGCTGCATTCCTACAAGTGAACAAAATTTGTAACTCCAAACAACTATCAACAAACAACGAAGTCACAATTTTCAATACAAATGTCAAGACTGTTCTACTGTATAACATGGAAAGTTGGAGAACTACGAAGTCCGTCATCCAGAAGATACATGTGTTGATTAACAGTTGCCTACGCAAAATACTTCGGATCCGTTGACTAGACACCATCAGCAACAACCTACTGTGGGAAAGAATAACCCAAATTCCAGAAGGCCAATAAATCAAGAAGAAGCGCTGGAAGTGGATAGGACACACAATGCAAAAAGCACCGAACTGCGTCACAAGACAAGCCCCCAATTGAAATCCTCATGATCAAAGGAAGAGAGGAAGGTCAATGAACATATTACTCCGAGAAATGGAGACAGACATGAGAAGAATGAACAAAAATTGCACAGAACTGGGAAGGAAAGCCCAGGACAGAGAAGGCTGGAGAATATTGGTCGGCAGCCTATGCTCCATTGGGAGTAACCAGCTCAAGTAAGTAGTAAGTAAGTAGGAAAAATTAGCTAGAGCGAGAATGTTGCAAGTTACACCTATATTTTTGACTGTTTTGTTGAAACCAACTAAAATACACTTTTAACAATGAATTATTTTTAGTTTCGTTTTCACATAGTAAAGTAATTGATTATAGTGGTAATTGAGACGTAACACAATTATTAAATTAGACTAGCTTAGAGGAGAGATTGAATTTTTACAATTATTGTATAGTGAATTATATTGGGCACATTTTCTATTGTACAAACTATCAAGTATTATTGTAGTATTATTATTATTATTGTATTGTGGTGTACGCTACTTATGTTCAGATAAGTAGTATATGATATCAAATGGAAATAAAACATCTGATAGCAAAAGACTGAGATGGAAAGAATGAAACAGAAGGTGATTTGTAGGTAACGAACGTAAAGTGAACTAAAGTCTGAACAGTCTAAATGAAAGAACACTGAAATCTGAAACAAATAAGGATTAGTTTGCAAATGATGATTCACGGGAAGGTTTTGTAAAAATACCTAACAACTCAGTAATATTCGCTTAAATATATTGCTGATGTCCTCACCTGGGTTTTCGTTCACAACAGTATTATTGTATTTCTATATTTCTTTTCCTCTTTATTTTCATAGATAATTCATGCTTAAATTATCTATCTGATGACCTACAAACTCATTATTCATATCTATTCATTCCGCCTGGAGCCCCTCCTGGGCTACTGCCGGTCCCAAGCCCAGATATAGGAGTAGGGGTAGGATGTGGGTGAAGTTGGCGACTCCATCCCGTAGACAACGAACTCGCTAAAAGAACGCTAACAAGAAAAAATAATTCAAACCATTATAACTCTGCCCTAGAAGGTCTTCTTCCAAGAGAGTTATGACGTCTCATGATGAAAGCCCAGTCCCTTCGGAAGTCACACGGCCGATGCTCTTTCTGACAACCGGAGTTCTACGGTATGGGCAACCGGGAAGTAACATCCAGTGTTATACCCGTAAAAGTACACGACACTGACTGATCTACTAAGATTTAAACTTCGAAATTTTACAGTGTTATAATTTTTAACGAATTAGAATTTACAATAATAACTTCATAATGACAGCCTCTTTTACTGTTACAATTTCATTTAGACTTTATATGTTCAAAGAAATCAAAAATAATCTTTATCGTATTCATAGTAATGTTGAGGAAAGGAAAGAATCGAACGTTGTGTCTACTTCATAGAAGTAAGAGATTGATTGGAATACAGACAAAATAGACATTATGTCGAGTATATTATTGATCAACTGTAAAATATGTTATTACATATTACCTGAACATTATCAGAGATATTATTTATGCTAACAGAGCCAATACGAGCCCAGTCAGCGGTAAAACAACGACCGTATCCATATAACTCCTGGTTAAAAGGTGGTCTGTTGATATGATTGCAACGATGTGTATTGATATTCCACCATTCTGGATAGTATGTTCGTGGTACTGTGAAATCCATCCTATCAGCAGCTCATATGTTTGTTTATTTTTTTTTAAGATCCCAAAACTGTTATTCTTAGGTGGCTTCAAAAAGCACCTATAAAATCTCTTGTATTGGCAAACCGTCTTGACCTTTAAAAAAATGGCAAGAAATGTGAGTCAACAACCCAATAAGTATACAGAAAGCACTGGTACCAGGTGTTTTATTATATATATATATATATATATATATATATATATATATATATATATATATATATATCACTAAAAAACAACTTAAAACTTAAACCTGGGAATTGACCGAATAGTCGTAAACAGCACCACGGTAGAATCACTGGGTTCCATTCATACTGCCCTACGAAAAGGTTCATTGTTCCTCTTTATGAGGTTGCTCATGATGACTCAACCGTTTTTTTAATGTTTTGTGGCGTGGGAGTGGGTTGGAAAAAAAACTAGGGGCGGCCAGACCAAAACTTGGCACAAATCCGTGAAGTTACTGACAAGTGGACTGAGTCATGTTGGTAGATGTAGACTACCTGGTTGGGGTCTGCGAGACGATAGTCACCAATGGTTAGAGACCTTGAACGATATGGCTCAAAATCGTTTGCGATGGCGCAAGTGCATCCATTCTTTGAGCTCTCTCAAATCCTAGTCTTCTGGATTCGTCAGCACCTCTACCTTTGTCTTTTTAATCTTATCTCACTGAATTATACTTCTTAAATAATATCTTCAAACCCTAGTCTTCTTCATTACCATTAGTACCTCTACTATCTTTATCACTATGGGATTTGGTTCGACATTTGTGTCTCTGTGCTAATGTGGTATGGCAACCTGAACCTATGTACATACATACGAAGTTCTACGTTGCAACTGACTGACTGACTGACAGACTGAATAAATATCAACCATGAGGTGAAACATGGAAGCACAGATGTTAACTACCGGGTGTAAGAGTCAACTGTTGGTTGCAAAGCTATCAACTCAAGGCTTTAATCGCTATCAATTTTTGTAAGTTTAAAGTTCTGAAAGTCGTTTCGATTGGTTTCATATATTTCACGCGTATGAGGAAAGCAATGTTAGGGACAAAAAACAATTCGCGGATATTCGATGTTAGCTATCATTTGTGTAACAATGAGAAACTCATAGTGTCCACCATAGGTTATATCTTACAATCGTAACAATTGATATAAAAATGTGTAATACATTCGGAATTAGATTGTGACATTTCCCAATATGTCATCTCTTACATTCCATAATACCGACTGGAAGAGATTTACAGGAAAAAAAAGGATTCAGAGCTATTCAAATTGGCAATTATCAATAACTTGTCTTAGATGTGATGCGGGAGAGGAAAAAAAATATTAGTTTCATTTTTATTTTGGCCTCCAATCCGAAACGTAGACTTCAAACAATTATCAACTGCATACTAAATTTACACAATTCAGTCATACTGAGTACACACAAAACAAGGAAAACGCTGAAGAAAACTCAAGATGATCATTATCGTCAATGAAAGTCCGCCAGTTAATGACTATTCAGGTGAAGATTAGTCAGTAAGTCAGTTGACACGCATAGATATTATATATGCACATCAGTTCAGGTTGCCATACAACATTAGCACAGAGACGCGATTGTCAGTGCAAACCTCATAGTAGTAGAGGTAGTAGCAATATTAGCATTAATCGAAAGGATTAGGGATCAAAGATAAATCGAGGAGTATACTCCAGAAAACTAAATATAAAAATTCATGAGGAAAATTAGAATATGAACAAACACAAACAAGGGATGGACCTGCATCATTACAAACGATTTTGAGCCATGTTATTCAAGTTTTCAAACCACCGGTTACGATTGTCTCGCGGACCCCCAACCCAGTACACTACATCTACTAACATGGCTCAGCCCAGTGGTCAAGGACTTCATGGATTTCTACCATGTTTTGGTCTGGCCGCCCCTATCCTTCTTCCAACATATTTCTACACTGCGAAACATAGCTCGACAAGGCAATCCGTGGTTGGACATTCGTAACACATCTCCCAATTACTTAAACTGATGAAGTTTCAATTCTTCATTTACTGATCTCCCATCCTTACCCAGTACCCGTTTACTAACAACAGCATTACTTACTCGGTTCTCCAAGGTTACAAGAGCAATGCCTCAGAGGCACGATGATCGAAAACCAGTAACCTACGAATATCTTCTACTCTGACTGGCCATTTTTCGCATCCATAGAGTAGAAGGGAGCGAACTATTGCGCAGTATTCTCGTCCTTTGATTAGCAGACAGATATTTCGCCTACGCCATAAATGACATAAATTGGCAAAGCCAATCGAGCCTTCTGTATCCGTGCTAAGATTTCGTCAGTCAACAAGCCGTCAGCACTGATGAGACTCCCAAGAGAAGTGAAGTGGTCGACACGATCAACTGCTTCACTCACTATCACTAGTTCAAGTGCCGACGCACGCCAATCCTGAAGCAGCATTTCGCATTTCGACAGGGATAATCGCATTCCGAAAATGCTGGCTTTGTTGCTTAGGAAGCTCAGAAGACTGCATTTTGTTAGTCTTCGCCAAGTATAACTGTGTCATCGGCGTATTCTAAGTCAACAAGCGAGACAGGATATGCTTCGTACGGAGCACTCATTGGTGAACTAATGCCGATGCTTGACATTGGAACCTCACGAATCGTCCCAACATGAGCATCTTGTCAAAACATAACCACAACGATCCTCCAGATAATCCCTGAAAATATGCACACCAAAGAGCGAACACCCAGGTTCGTGCACAATTTTTCTCACTAAGAGTTGGAATGCTCTCCCAGCCGAGGTGACTATAGCCTCCTTAGAAGATAGCTTCAAGAAGAGACTTGATAAGCACGTACTCAATTACGGATTATCATCTCCCCTTTGGACCAGTACTGCCTGATGTATGTCTCGAAACTTGTTAGTTTTTATTATTATCACTTCCTCAGATCACTAATTTATTCTATCTCGCTTATTATCTCTGCTTCCTCTTTTTTGCTTACACTTTTGGTTTTTTACAATCTTCACTACCAATTGCTTAACATATTTGTCCGATTAATTGGTTCTGAAATCTTCTACCTAGCATTAGAATTTTCGCCCTATTATTCTTCATATTGCAACCTACCGACTTTTGGACTGGTACTGATAACTACTAGCATCCAGACACCCAACCGCTCTGAGACAAACGCATAGAACACACATATTCATAGATAACTGCCAAACTATTAGTCAAGTGGCCAGACTAACATCTATTGGACACTACCAAATACCTGGGACTGTATCAAAAGAACAAGAATCGAGCGCTAATTGATAAAAAGCTTAATTCTAGATAGTTAAAAAGATATTGCACGTAGTTGTAACGTCTAGTCAGTGGGTGGGGAAGTGAGAAGCAGTATGTTAGACGATGTGGACAGAAGGAACAGTGAGTCGACAACTCTGCAGGCATAAAATATGCACTTACACTTAATCGAAAAAGTGACTGACAACAATAAGGAATAATACAGCCATGGGATTACGACAATTCAAAGGTAGAAAACTAGAAGTTGGTAGCGCAGTATTTTGAATAAGCTGCAACCTTGAAAAGAGAAAAATTGAAAAGGACAATCTTCAGACCTCGAGCTACCAAGGTGATGAGGAAATTACTGAATTCTACAATCGTAATATTGTAAAGCGTCACTTTCAGTTTCTCCTGAATTAGATGCGTGACATTTTACATATACATGTCCAGTTTCGATGCCTTAGTTACACGAATTTTGCTTCGTATGTTGAGAAACGGATTTTCGTCTATCGTAGCTACGGCAATGTAAATAAACTGTTCTCCAGTCTCCTCCTACGATGCTTTAATATTAACAGTGTCGTTGTGTGAGTTTTCGGCCATCGATTTCAAGTGAGTTAGTGGTCAGTGATAGTAAAAATATGGTTAGTGTTGATGAACATCAACGCTGTACCATTAAAATCGAGACTAAACTGTGCGGTTGTACAAACATTTTCATTGTGTGAATCTACACGCTTTGTACCAAAAACATGATCCACCACAAGCTACAGTATGTCCTGTTAAGATCTTTACTCACCATAATATTGACAGTCAGATAGGTTAGAAATTTGGAATGGTTTTCGGAGTATCATATTTCCTATACTTTCATATGCGTCCACCTTACTGCTCAATTCGATTGATATGATTTGCATATTATCAAGTAGGATACATTCCCAGTCGTATAAACAGTTGGTCTGAAATACTAAAAGTCAGATTTCATTGCCTTTCTAAATCAAGTAATAGTTTCACCTACGTAAATTATCTGTCGTAGAAGACTGGTAGGCCTACTCGGGAGTTTAGTCAAGAATCAAAGAATCAGGAGGCCTTCGTAACCACTAGACCTAACATATTATTTCCTATCATCCTCCAAATCGCCAAAACATGCACACCTATAATGATGAACATCTAGATCATACGAAATACCAAAAATTTGAACTAATTCTCTGACATCAGAAACAGTATGGGGTTTAGAGATAGTGCCAAGGAAACTACTGAAACGTAGGTCAAACAACTCTCCAGAACGAGAAGATAGATGCTCAGAAGTTGAGGAAACGTTCATTATGACTCAGTATACAAACATTTCCATTACTCGTCTAATCTGGAAAGTAATATTGATCTCCACGATTGTCAAAGAAGGAAACGGCTACATCTAAAAACTTTAATAGAAACTGATCAACCTTCAGAGTCTATACTCGTAGAGTACGATACAGAGAAATACTGAGATAAATGCTTTTCTGCATACTCGTCGATCTGTGCACACATCATCAAGCTAAAGAGAATCATCATGTTTAAGGGCGATCATTAAGGACTGTTTTTGAGGTTTAGCGTGTTGTACCTTCCTGTAGAATGAAAAATAACCAAACTCTGACGACACATGGTATCTTGGGAATTTTGATCTGGAAACCTAAATGTCGACGGTTTGTTGTAAAATGTGTTGTAGATACTGTTATAAGAACAAATTATTCGGATGGTTTGCCCGTTATTTACGAATAAACATTTGGTACCTAATTAAAAATTCGAACGTTTTTATTTGGGTCGCAACTTATAAGGGCATCAGTTGTCCGTTATTCAAAGATAAACCAGGGCAGAAACTAAATGTTAGTACCCGGCTTAGTGATGCACAGTAAACTAAATGATGTCCATCACTGTCATCTAGTTACTGTCTTCTGTTAGCCCTAACCACTTTCGCTGCCGTTGGATGGAAAGAAAATGCCTATTGACAGTTAAGTTAGCCTGGGTAAAGCTTAGAGTGGGGGCGTTCTTGTCACACCAAACTATTTCCTTTACGATCAACTTACGTATGACTGTACCAGGATCATGGCTTTCTGTCGTGCAGATATAACCTCGACCAAGAGATTATATCTGTCTATTAGACTACCTGAATAATAATATTGAAAATCAAGGTAAAGGACTTCCGGAATCAGTCCTATCCTTCGACTTTAAGAAAGCTATTCTTAAGGTCCTACACAAAAGATCTCTCATCAAACTAAAATCTTACTGGAATCAGTGACACACTACACTACTAACACACTATGATCATGTTGCTCTCCCATCAACATTCACGCAGGTATCACGAAACGATTGACACGTTTACCGGTTCCTACTAACAGCAGTAGGTCACGCCTTTATGCACCTACATCCGAAATTCAGAGTCTCCCAAATATTTAAATTTGCATGATTATCTTCTCATCTTTCACATCACTTTTAGTTTTTATTTCTGGCAGACAGACAATTTAAAAGCCTAACTATGATGTTTATCTACTGTTGATCACTAGGGACGATCTTTTAGACAAAGTTAGCTAGGCGTCGTTGATTTACGAAAATATCTGGAGGTTCATAAGAAGCGAAGAGGATTTAACTGACCTACTAAATGACCTTACATCTATTGAGGAATGACTAGTGAAAAACGGTTTACAGCTAAGCGAATCGGAATGTCACGTTATGTAGATTCTGTCCAACGTGACGCAACCGACTTATTCCTTCAACGGAAATCTGCTACCTGATATCTCTTCAGAGTGCGGTCTGGGTTTACAAAACAACTAAAAGAATCCACCTCACGAAATCGGTGGATAGGATTACTAAATTACTCTATCTTGGTTATTATCTGTATTTCCTCTTCCGTGCCTGCACTTCATTCCACTCACACAATCTTCACGACCAATTTATAAACCAAATTATCCATTTATCTACTTAGTTCTGAAATCTTTTCATTGACATTACAATTTTCTCATTTTCCACGTTGCAACCAGCTGATCTCCTGTCTGATGATATGATAGCTGCTGGTATCCTGAAACCCTATTGCCCTGAAACAAACGTGCTCATTGAAATCACGGGAAACGCAAACCCACAACCAGCTGCCAACTTACCAGAATTAGTGAAGTCATGTAGCTGAACCCCAACTAATTGACACCATCAAATACCTGGAATCGTGCTGAAAGAACTAGAATCGAGTACAAAGAAATGAATAGATTTATACTATCTCATGAAAAACATATGGATTATTGGATATTGTAATCCGTTTGTACTAGCTCGTGAAAAAGATATTGGAGTTTGAAGGCTACCAGTTTGGAAGTTGATCTATGTTATCGTGAATAATAGTAAACTGTACATTGAAGACATACAGTATTTTCGAAGAACCTAGTCTGTGACCGAGTGGGTGACATATAATATACTTATATGATATACAAAAGGGCTTCTTCGTAGAGAAGAACAAATTCTATTACAATGACACTTAAAACCAAGATAAGGTGTTTCGAAAACTGATTTTCCGAACTTTTTACAAAAATTAAAGTTATTGATCTTGAGTCCTAACACTATATTGGTGTGCACTTGAGTGAGACAATCGATGTTTCGTTTTTTTCACTAAGGAAGCTGCAAGTGTGTGCGGAAAACCTGAAATTTCTCGGTGTTTCAAGTAATTGTAAGTGAATGAGATAAGTTTTATATTTCAAGCAACTTGTATATATATCCGTGTAGGTAGTTGTTTGGTAATTCTGAAGCGAAACTGAAGCTTAATTATTCGATGTGATATATGTTTACCTACAATTGCATCTATGTTTACTTCTTGGAAAATCTACCTCATACTGTCGCTGTTCATTCTAGATTTTGGTGAGTAACACAATTCGGTGTTTATCCAATATTTTATGTATTTCTGAGTGATTTTTAATTACCCCGGCCTTTACCCTACCTGTTGTACATACGTACAGAACCCTAATAATTCATCTAGTACGTCTGCTCAGAAAAAAATTTTTGAGGACACAAAAAATTCACTTTCAAAGTTTATGAGGTTAGCAGTGATTAAAAACGAGGTTGTATTTCAAATCAGTGAAGCACTTAATACTAGAATATTTTTGATATCTGATAACTTTATCTATAAACAATGGATTTGACAGGTTGTTTTTGGGAATTATATAGTCGATTATGTTATTTATGACTTCATGTATTAAATATCATGCTCTTCATTATCCGATGTCAAATGTCTTTCTATCCAGTCAATATGAACCAACTGATTTCCTGTTGTTTCAGTAAGACTGCAGTTGGTTTCAGAACGGAAAATAATTCAGATGAAATTTAAGTAATAGGGGAAATATGAATGTTTGGAGAATTGATTAAACAAATATTTGTACTGCATAGTCGTTTTTGTCAATGACTTCCAGTTTCATGTTTGCAAATTGGAGAAGTTATAAGACAGTAACTAGTTTTAGAACATCTCCACAAGATTCAGAATATATTTTAGCGATAAAAGATTAAAAATGAGGACTTTTTTGATAAGAATAGGGAAAACAAGGATAAAAAACGAAAATAAGTCTTTTTTATCATGTTGTGGAGAAAAAGTATACCGTTTCCTCTTCTTGTCAGTTTTTCTTGGGAATTCGGCTTAACTGTTTACTTTACGGTCTCATTTACTTCAAATTGTATAATTTTTCCTTGAGTCTGTAGTAGTGACCATAGTCGATCTCGACTCAGTCACCACTAAATATTCATTACTATCCCGTCACGAATTATAGAAATAAATCCAGGGTTGAACGAAACCGTAATTCACAATTAGCTTCATTCTTTAATTGGTCAACCATCAAATCATCAAGCATAACAAACAGAAACAAAAAATCAATTTATCTCTTCCTCTCCTTCTCTCAACTTGTTCCTCACTAACATTCCCTCCTTATTTTTCATCATTCGACTTTATTTTGTTCTCGGTTGTTATGCATTTCTCCTTTCAGAATCATCCTTCAATGAGACAGTGGAAACAAATAGTTCAGTCCATGCGACAGTTGATCTAACGCCTACTGATCCCGTAACAAATAATACTTTTACCACTACTGATACTGACACTACTGTTTCTACTGCTACTGCTGCTAATTATATCACTGCTAGCGCTACTACTACTATTAGTAATACTTCTACTACTACTGAAAATGAGACGAATAGTTCGATTACTGACACTGTCACTATTGATACTACAACTGCCACTAATGAAGTCGATCAATCGAGTGAGTAAAACATTTTTCACAA